GTGTGTGTGTGTGTGCGTGCGCGCACACGCACATCTGTGGGAGTTTAGTCCCAATGTTGCCTATGCTCCACAGAAGCCTCCTCCCACCTGACTTAATCTAAACTTATCTGTTTAACCTCCTATTCTTTTCTCTTTCATGATTATCTAGCTTTCTGTTAAATGCAACATGCTATTCCCTCATTTCTTGTGGTAGTCTGTACCGCTTTCTCATCATTCAGTAAACAACGATTCTCCTGAATTCCTGTTAGTCACTATCTTGTATTTATGTCCATTGGTATTGGTCACCTGACAAGTAGAAATAACTTTGGTAAGTTTACCTAATGAAAACTCTTTAATTGTTTTAAAAATTGCTGTTGGGTTAGCCTCAGCCTTTTCAAGAAAAGAGCCATTAACTGTTCCTTCTTGTGCAATAGTTGCAATGTCTCAGTTTTGGTCTCATGCTTGAGAATCTTTTAGCACCTCATCAAATGCCACTAAATCCTTCTTGAAACAGGAAGACCAGCACTGTGCACAATGCTCTTTAAGTGTGGTAGATTGTGTGATGTAACCTATGTATATAATGTGTCGATAAAATATATATCATTTATTTTAGAGTTTGGATTTTGAACTAGTGGCATGTGAGTTTTGGTTCATACATAAGGGGGGCTTTAATGATTTACTTGTCAGTACTTCTGGAGCCATGATTTCTTTTTAAATCCAGTATGCGAGAGAAATTCTGGAGTGATAACAGGAATTAATTCGCATTGTTAGAGTTTTACAGTTAGACAGGGTAAACTTCGGAAAGCATTAGTTTGCTTTCAGCTTAGAAGAATCAGGAATTGAGTTTTTTATTTGCTTAGGGGAAAAGCCCATAGCTTGAAAAGTTTTTTTTTGGGTCAGTTCAAAAAGTCCTGGTTGGAGTTAGATGTAAGAACTCAAGTTTTTTTCTGAACAGAGGAGATAGTTCGGAATTATTAGCAAAGTAAGTTAGCTCAATGCAATGGTCCCAGTTGCACGCTTGGTTAGAACCCTGAAGTTCAGCTCTGGGGGATTTCCAGCAAGTGGCGAATTGCTTTGCATGTGGTAAGATTGGGCAGAAATCGAACATGATACTCACCATAAATGCTGAAAATGCCAACTATGCAGCAAGTTTGGTCAGAAACAGTGAAAAAATAACTGCTTGGCCTCATGCTAAGAATCATCACACCAAACTCGATGCAACTCACACATAGCCGAACAGCCAGAAGATCCAGCCCAATACTTGCCCTCTTAGTGAACACGATGACAACTGAGGGAGAAAATCACTCAATAGTAATTTCACTTCCAAGCGTAAAAATATCGAGAAGCATTTTTCCAAAGCTGAAAGACGGCTCAAGTTAACATAATCCATTGCTGTGTACAGTGAGACAACAAGGTGCAGAGCTGGATGAACACAGCAGGCCAAGCAGCATCATAGGAGCAGAAAGGCCTTTGGCCTGCTGTGTTCATCCAGCTCTGCACCTTGTTGTCTCGGATTCTCCAGCATCTGCAGTTCCTACTATCGCTGTGTACAGTGAGCTCAGTGTATGCAGGAATAGTTCACCACTTTCCAATGAGGCTTACTACTGCAATGTGCACTTTCTCGTTGTATTTCTTGGACCGTAGGGGCACGCCATAGCTCAGTAGGTCTTTGCACCATATAATGTATTGCTGAGTTTATTCAGCTACCTGCTCTCAGTCCAGATATGCAAGAATTAGTGTGCTCACTCACCAACATTAACTTCTGATTGAGAAACACCTTCATTTTGAAACTCACATCCTTGTTTCAAAATCCTTCCATTGTCTCACCCATCTCTATATTTAACTCCAACAATCCTCCTAGCTATCAGCAGTCCTCCAATTATAGCCTCCTGTGCATCCCAGATTTTCACCATTATTGGCTGTGCCTTCTGTCAGCCAGGCCCAAAGTCCCTGGAATTCCTTCCCTAAACCTTCCAACCATCCACCTCGCGCCCCCCTCCCGTCAAGATACTCGAAAATACCTCTTTCATCAAGCTAGGGCCTAACATCCCACAGGGCCTGATGTCAAATTCTGTTTGCTGATGGCGATCCTGAGAACCACCTTGGAACATTTTGCTGCATGAAGAGTGCAATACAAATGCAAGTGGTTGTTGTTGATGACAATTTGTTGAAGCGAAGACTGGGAAGTAACAGGGCAATTCCCAGCAACTAGAGTTTGGAAGGTGGTTTGACAGCAGACATTGAGTGAGGGTGAGAACAGACTTGGCTGCAATGTTCTCATTATTCTCTCAGCTATATACCTCTATTGGCTCCTTCACTGGTCCCACTCCTCCTTGCATTCCCTTTTTACTATCAATGTGCCAATAGAAGACTTTTGGAGTCACTTTTACATTTGGATTCACTTTTAGCTGTCAGTCTCTTCTCATATTCCCTCTTCATTTCTGTTCATTCCTTTCTTATTGCTCCTCTGAACTTTCTATATTCAGCAAGTATGACCCATCTGTTTCACACAGTGTCTTACACTGTTTTACCAGGATGTTGCCAGGGGCTGCAGAGTTTGAGTCATAAGGGCAGGCTGCATAGGCTGGGACATTTTTCACTGGAGGGTAGGAGGTTGAGGGGTGACTTTATAGAGGTTTATAAAACCATGAAGGGCATAGATAGGGTGAATGTCAGGTGTCTTTTTCCTAGGGTGGGGGATTTCAAAACAAGGGGGCATATTTTTAAGGCAAGAGGAGGAAGAATTAAAAGAGGCCTGAGGACATTTTTTCACACAGAGGGTGGTTCGTATGTGGAATGAACAGCCAGAGGAAGCAAGAGATGCAGGCACAGTTACAACATTTAAAACCCACTTGGATAGGTACATGAGTAGGAAAAGTGGGATATGGGTCAGGAGCAGGCAAGTGGGACTAGTTCAAAAACAGAAGTTGCTGAAAAAGCTCAGCAAATCTGGCAGCATCTGTGAAAAAAAAAATCAGAATTAATGTTTCGGGTCCGGTGAGGAAGGGTCACCAGACTTCAACTCTGTTTTTGTTCTCTTCACAGATGCTGCCAGACCTGCTGAGCTTTTCCAGCAACTTCTGTTTTTGTTCCTGATTTACAGCATCCGCAATTCTTTCAGTTTTTATTTGGGACTAGTTCAGTTTGGGAAACTTGGTCAGCATGGATGAGTTGGACCGAAGGGCCTGTTTCCGTGCTGTATGACTCCATGACACCCTTTTCCTATTTCGTCTAACTCTCTAAGTATCATCCAGGGAACTCTGGCTTTGATTGTCCTCCCTTTCCCCTTTTATGGGTCAAATCTCAACAACTCCCTCCTCTCTGTCCCATCCTTCATCATACAATATGGTAAATCCCAAACTTCTCTTTCTGATTCCAAACGCATCACACCCCTTGTTGATTCTTCTCTGACCTCAGACAAACACCCTTATGTTCAGCATATGCTGCATCCTGCTACGATGAAAGCGAAAGCTGGTATGGATTAAATTCCAGTCACTCACTTTATTCCTTTGTACAAAGTCAAATCAACCTCCACCCCCACCCACCCACCCCAATCATTCTAAAGCTTTTTGTGATGAATTGCAGTAACAAGGAAAAATGGCAGTGCAGAGATGGCCAATAGAGATGATTATGTGGTTAGATGGTGCCACCTTCTGGGTACTGCATTGTATAACACAACAGAAAATGAGATAGTAGGAACTGCAGATGCTGGAGAATCCGAGACAACAAGGTGCAGGGCTGGATGAACACAGCAGGCCAAGCAGCATCATAGGAGCAGAGAGGCTGACGTTTCGGGCCTAGACCCTTCATCAGAAAAGGGGGAGGGGAAGGGGGTTTTGAAATAAATAGGGAGAGAGTGGGAGGCGGATAGAAGAGGGATAGAGGAGAGGATAGGTGGAGAGGAAACAAACAGGTCGAAGAGGCGGGGATGGAGCCAGTAAAGGTGAGTGTAGGTAGGGAGTTAGGAAGGGGATAGGTCAGTCCAGGGAGGACAGACAGGTCAAGGGGGCGGGATGAGGTTGGTCGGTAGGAGATGGAGGTGCGGCTTGAGGTGGGAGGAGGGGATAGGTGGGAGGAAGAACAGGTTAGGGAGGCAGGGACGATGAGATGTTCGACAATTCACAGAATCCAATGCTTGCACATCATGTGTCATCCTGAATGTACACAGCTGAGGTCTAACACATCACTTATATAAGTTCAATGTCATCTCCTTTCTTTTGTTCTCCATGCCCCTAATAATACAATGAAAACACCTTATGTTCTACTTACTGTTTTTGTGACCTGTCTGAGCACTTTCAATGATCTGTGCACATTTGCACGCAGGTCCCTCTGCTCCTGCACCCCTTTTGAATTGCACCCCTTACTCTATATCGTCTTCCTGCCCTGGTTAACTGCAGTGGAGACAAGGACAACGTGGTGGGCAAGGTTTTAACAAGCTTTGCCCAAATGCCCCCACCTTCACCTCGATAGCTAGGGAGTGTATAAATCCAGCCTATTGATCTCCCAAAGAGTTGGAGAGTCTCCGACCATCATTTTCCTGCTGCCTCGCTGGTGGGAGAAGTCAAAGACAGGAAGAAATGCATCTGTGTCCCCAAACAGGTCCACAGAGAGAGAGAGAGGGTCAATGCAGATCTGATGGGCCAAATGGCCTCTGTCTGTGCTGTAGGGGTTCTATGAGATCAAGAACTTCTTCAGATTGGCAGGAGATGTTTCCCATAGCATACCTCAACAAAGTTGTCATTCAGTACGGGGAAGTTCTTCACTTGAGTGAGGGTGGAACACGTTCTTAAGATGGCAGCCAGCTGCTGGGTTTCTGGCTCTGGGAGTAGGCAACAAATGACCCGAGTTTTACAGTTGCCTCCGAAAGCATCTTGTGTCAGCTGAGTTAATTTGGATTCACTACAATATGAAATGATAGAATTAACGTTGAGGTCTCAGTGAAAGAGTCACATTGCATACTCGTAGTTCGGTCCCGGGTGGCAACCTCATGAACATTGACACGACCACAACACAACAGACAACAAACTTCAGGCTCAAGGTGCTGAGGACTCCATTGGCATATCATGGGAGAGATTCTAGGCCAGCACCTACCAGATATTTTTCCGCTGTCACCCCATGTTAAAGCTTTATATTTGGGTGAAAATGGAGTTGCGGATAGATGGAAAGCTACGGAGCTGTGTTTTGGTGTTTTCAGACTTCAAAATGCGAGTTAGCAGTTGCTGAAAGTGACTGTGTTACCGAGCATTTTCAGGCCTAATTGGCATCAGAGTTTTTTTTTAATATTCATTCACAGGATGTGGGCATCACTGGCTGAGCCTACATTTATTGCCCATCCCTAATTTCCCAGAGTGAAGTTTAGAGTCAGCCACACTGCTGTGGGTCTGGAGTCACACATAGGCCAGACCAGGTAAGGATGGCAGATTTCCTTCCCTAAAGGGCCATTAGAGAACTAGATGGGTCTATCCAACGTGATCATCATTAGATTCTTAATTCCAGATTTTTTCTATTGAATTCAAATTCCACCATCTGCCATGGTGGGATTCGAACCCACATCCCCAGAATATTACATGGGTCTCTAGATTAATAGACCAGCAATAGTTAGCCAGGCCACAGAGGTCATTGGATAATGGCCACGTCCACCGTTAAATTTAATTACCCACATTTAGAGGGGCATTCAAGCCGATCCCAGGACTGTCAATTCCGAGACTCCCCTCTCAAAGTTGGCTCAGAATCTGTGACCCCTTCCCCCAACACCCCAGCCCAGCCCATTCTAGACAATCAGCATTAAACTATGAGGCCTAATTTCGCAATCCAATGAGATATCAGATGTAGCCTCAGTTATTGTTTATATTGTATATCTCAGGGGAAGATAAACGCTTGCATTGTATTGTGTCATGTGACTCAAAGATATCCAATTCCCTAATAATGTTTTGGGATTTATGGACCCCTGGTGGTGAGGAAATGTGAAAAGGAAATTTTAAAGGACTGGAATGTCAAAGGATGGTGT